TGAAGCCAGCGACAGCAGCTATTGATAAAATCCTGCAACCTGTTGAAATTGCTTCTTGTAATGAGCCGTTTCTGATCCATCCATATCAAAGAGCTGACTGACTTCACATTTGTGTTGATGGTTCGAATTTCGTTGGAGTGCAGACGATTTCCACAGTGATTTCAGAGTGATGAAGGTGTATGCCTTGCCTTTCCGATTCTGGTTCTGACATGGTCATCCATGCCAGTGCCTGTAGCTGAGATGGTGTCTCCTAGATAGATAGGTGAAGGAAGTGACGCCTTTTGAAATTCTTCCCGTTGCTAGTGATTGCTACTGGTTGTTGTTGTTGTTGTTGTTGATGATGGGTAGTGGGTATCTCCATCACCTCTGCCTTCTCCATGTTCGCTTGTAGATGATGAGACTCAGATAGGTTACAAGAATGAGACTACCATATTTGAAAATTCTTGTTTAATTAATATTATGGGTCATTGTAGTCAGTAATAATCGTCCTGAGTTTAGCTATCGGCAAATCAATTCTATGACAGTTGATTACGGATAAGTGTAGGAGGGTGCTGGTTCAGATGGCCACACTTCAGAAAATCATTCAAAAAGGGAAGAACAGGAATACATTGTTCAATAAACAAAATAATTAAGTAGAGAATAGTAAAAATCTTGGAATCTGGAAAACGACAAGGCATAATTCCGACTGGGAACAATTTGAGCTTTTTTTGAACGTCTAATCATTAATGATCTTGCAGACTTATGTCGTGTTTTCGCCTTAGGAGTATGTGGATTAAGTGTCTTAGTAATGATGTGACGAGAGAAGGTAACACACCTTGTGACGGAATATTTATTAGCGATTTGACGTACACATATAGAGAAACTATGTATGCCTCATGTAACTTGAAGTCAACTGGTGGGTAGTGACTAGCAGTGGAATCCCATCCAGGATAACGCGCATTTCGTCCCTTTTGGGACTTGTCATTTGGATGTACTTACATTCCTCAGTGAGTGGTGGAGTTCCCACCGCGGCTCGAACCCAGTGCCCGTAGTTTCAAATAGGATGAAATGCGCGTTATCCTGGATAATCCACTGCTAGTCATCAGCCACCAAGTGACTTCAAGTTTCATCACCAGACATTGTCAAAGCATCCACACAATGAGTCAACTTGTAAACCTGAGACCAAGCACTTTAGTCCAATCATTCGACGGAAAAGTCTAAATTGAATTAAATATGTATACCTCATATCGGTGTCGTCGGTGGCATAGCGGTTAGTACGCTCGCTGATCATGCACATGGTCCGGGGTTCGATCCCCGGCCACCGACGCACTCCTTCACTTCGCTAAGCCAGAAATAATGCTGGTGAAGAGGTAAGGTTGGGCATGAGGCTAGTAACCCCATCCTGTAAAATAAGCACTGCTTCAGAAATTTCAAGCCACTAGCTTGAAGCCCTATGTTCCACTGGGGAACGTGAAGGATAAAAAAACCTCATATCAAAATCATCACGCACAGATCCTATGTGTTGTGCGACTTCTTTCCTGCGTATTGTGTGTTTCTTTGCCTTCTTTTCGTGTCTGGTTTCTTGTCTTTGGTGTCAAGTGTACCTCTCCGCTATTTGATATTTTGTGCCGAAGCCCAACAATGGTATCCTGGAATTTGATTTGTCTCCAGAAGGTCTTCATGATAAAAAGCATTACTTTTGTATGAAAACAGAAGCCAGGGAAAGACTGAGACCTAGGCCAATCAAACACTGCCTGTCAGCAAGTGGAGATTTTGAAGTTTCGTCAGCACCGAAATATTTGCCACCACCACCTAAGAGTTGCCATAGTTTTTGATGTGGTTGTGTTTTCTGAGCTAGATAGTTAATTTGCGAAGCTTTCATCACCCTAATGGGTGACATCTTCAGCGCACACATCAATTTGAAGTGAGCTTTCAGATTTCTCCACGAGTTTATTAGTCATCTCTCCTGATCGCTGACCACCTTGGACGTAATTGGTTGTTTTTGTGTGCTTTCACACCTTCTAGGTTGCTTGTATTGTCACTCATTGTTTCTTTGACTTGAACTTTGACCCTTTGTGTGTGAATTTTCTTTCTTATCGGTTATTAAATTTTGTCTATCTCGATGTGTCCATTGATTGATGATTCACTGGAATGCCAAGCTTCTAAAAATTCTCTAGTATTCTTGTTGTTTCCTCTGTCTAATATTTGAACGTCGGTTGTCCCAGTCGAATTGATGTCCGTGGTTGTCTGTATGTAGTGGTATGAGGGAGTGGATACAAAGACGAAGGTGACTTCCACTTTGGCCAATGTAGCGTTTTTCGCAATTGATGCAATCTATTTTGTAGGTGATGTTGGTTTTATCTACTTTTGCTGTTGAGTATTTTGGTTGATATAGAATTGAGTGAGGTGACTTTGTTGGTTTGTGTACGACGTCAATTCCTAAAGGTTTGAAGAGTGACGCAGTGATTTCTGAGATGTCCTTTATATATGGTAAGGCGATTTTCTTTGTGCTTTCCTTGGTGGCTTTTGGTTTGATGACTTCCATGAGCTCAAATTGTTCCCAGTCACAACTATGCCTCGTCGCTTTCCAGATTCCAAGATTTTTACTATTCTCTACTTAATTATTTTGTTTATTGAACAATGTATTCCTGTTCTTCCCTTATTGAATGATTTTCTGAAGTGTGGCCATCTGAACCAGCACCCTCCTACACTTATCCGTAATCAACTGTCATAGAATTGATTTGCCGATAGCTAAACTCAGGACGATTATTACTGACTACAATGACCCATAATGTTAATTAAACAAGAATTTTCAAATATGGTATTCCCATTCTAGTAATCTATCTGAGTCTCATCCTCTGCAAGCGAACATGGAGAAGGCAGAGGTGATGGAGATACACACTACCCAACAACAACAACAACAACCAGTAGCAATCACTAGCAACGGGAAGAATTTCAAAAGGCGTCACTTCCTTCACCTATCTATCTAGGAGACACCATCTCAGCTACAGGCACTGGCATGGATGACCATGTCAGAACCAGAATCGGAAAGGCAAGGCATACACCTTCATCACTCTGAAATCACTGTGGAAATCGTCTGCACTCCAACGAAATTCGGACCTTCAACACAAATGTGAAGTCAGTCAGCTCTTTGATATGGATGGATCAGAAACGGCTCATTACAAGAAGCGATTCCAACAGGTTGCAGGATTTTATCAATAGCTGCTGTCGCTGGCTTCATATTAGAGATCGAATGGCCAGTCAGAAAGAATTAGCAACAAGAAACGGTGTGAACGAGCCAATCAAGAATCTATTAGTGAAGACGTATGTCGAAGGGAGTGGAGGTGGATCGAGGACACACTGAGAAGGCCGTTGAATGATATCTCGCTACAGGTCATCTGTTGAGTGGAACCTGAATGGAAAACGACGAGTTGAACTTGTGTCTGTGTGTGTATATAAATGCGACTGTACAGCTTTTGAGAATGAAATCACCGAAAAGATATCTTTGCTGAACTTCTTGTTCTTTTTCCTCTAAAATGAAAAAATCGGTGGAGCCGAAATATGATTAGGGATTACCATACTTTAGCATAGAGGGATTAAGACCATGAGAGTTGGAGAGGTTGAACGAACAATTTCTGTACACAGAGATCTGGCTTCTCCGTTTCGATAGCCGAATATGGCTTCAGCAATACAACAGATGAGTCATGTACGTAGTTATTTCGGTAAACTACTCATTGCCTTGTAGATGACTTTTAACGCGGAGGCAATAGAGATCATTAGGTGATCATTATTGACCAGATGTTCAATGATTGCGCTTCTCACGGCTCCATTTGCACCTCTTCGTAACCACCAGGCAGGATAGTGTTCTTGCACCCCCTTTGTCGAAACCCCAGTAGAACGACCAATATACCTAGCTGCACACGAATTGATAAACGCACATAGAGTTGGTCGATAGCAGGATCGTGTCCTTCAGGTTTTTGAACAGTGATGGTCGACTGGTAAAGGCTATTCTCAGAGATGCATCAGGGAATGTTCTTTTCAGGGACAGTGATATATCCTTCTTTTCATCATATCGGAAGCTAAGTCACCTTTGAATTCCAAACTCATGTCTCCGGTATTGTTTCACTTGTCCCACTTGTCATTCTAAATCAATTCTGTTTTCACAACGTTAAATTCTATACTATCAAATTTCACACAATACTACGTAACTTTTTCATTTAATTCAATTCGCCTACTAATCCTACGATTGCACATCCCTTCAAAGTTCTATCCATCCTATGAATCAGTGTTCTATATATGACATTAGTTGTTTTGCCACTTGACACTTAACTAGGATTGTGATCACAAATATTTTAATTGCGTTTCATACTACTATTGTTATTATTTTATGCATTCACTCAGACCTATGATTCAATTCCCTCCCCCACCGGATATAACTTCTTGAAGATCAGTTCTTGACATCATTCTCCATCAGCTGATACGTGAGATAAGGTCGTGTCGTTCGACAGGCCTTCGAGTAACATGTCCTGTGCATTGAGGAAGCTATTGCTAAACACAAAGGAAAGCTTGAAGTGAGATATAGTGTGTGGAACAACTACAAATGCTCAGATCATCTCTAGGAAATTGAATGTTGTTGAACAGGAGTTAATTAATATCTCCTACTTACAGATAATTAAGTAGTGTGGGTAATATAACAAAATAATTTAGAAGAGTGCAGTTGAGTCAGCAGCAAATAACCGAGATTTATCAAATTATCACTTTTTTTTCGATTTATTATTTATCATTGAGAAGCACAGTTTTTAGCATAAGTTTTTTTATATATTTAGTAACTAATGACAAGTTGTCTCTAATGCAGATAACATTCAGAGTCGTAAATTCTCAACTTACTGAAACCAGATAAACTGAAAAGTGAGGTGTAAGCCAAAAGCTTCCTGATTATGAAAAAATAAAAATGAAGAAGAAATGCTGTGTCTTTGTTATGACGAATATCCTCAAAATACTTTTGATGCATACACTGTTGATTACTGTCGACTTACACTCAGTCCGTTATGATGATTACACAGAATTATACAATCACACTGTTGTAAGCCTTTATCTGCAGGACAAAGAATATATTTATATGGCTTACAGTTGTACGGATAGTGCATTTGTTCAATTTGCTTGAAAGTGGTGCATATTCTATTCGAACAGTGACAGTGATTGGCTTTCACTGAACAATTACACACTATTCGTTCATATGGTGTTGCAGGTAGGTGTTTCTGTGCTGCTGCTGCTGCTGCTATTATTTTTGATGATGACACACTTGGCGCTGATTCTCTCGACTTTTGTACCTCTGTTTCAGGCAGTATTAGTAATGCTGGAGTTTTAAAAGCTGTTGTCGATGATGTCATAGTCTGTACTGATTTCGATAGTTCCGATTGTTTTGATATTGACAATGGTGGTGATGGTGGCGGTGTCGGTGTCGTTGTTTCTGATCTTGGCGGTGGTGTTGGTGTTCTCTGCGATCCTCTCGGCAATGGCAATGACAGTGGCAATGGCTGTGGTTGTGACTGTGATAATTGTACTTTAGACTCAGTACTGTACTGTCTAGAAAACGCCTCATCTGTTCGACATTCTGCAGACGAATTTCCGATTGTTTGTTCACGCTGCATATTTGTATTCTTGTTAACAAGAGAACAACCACACATACAATAATTATTTCTTTCATTGAATTTACATTTTTGTGGACTTGATGTAGAAGCTGTAATAGTGAGTTTAACAGATGGCAGTTCACAATGTTGGATAGTTTTAGAGCTTGTAGCAGTTGTCTGCTTCAGTGGAGGCTCATCTCTTGATGGATAATTTTCCAGATTTTCATTTTGGTCAGTTAGGACAGGCAAACAAGGTGATTTGCTTATATCATCATCTTGTGATGACGATTGAATTTTGCACAGGTTTCCGTCAAATTGTACATCTTTACTTTTGACGAGTTCTTGATCATCTGAACTCATTTGTTTTTGTTGCTGTTGTTGTTGTGTTGGTGGTGGTTGTGGTTGTTCTAGCTGCTCTTCTTGTCTTTGGTCTGTATTTCTGTTGTGATAGTCGAAATTCTCCTGAAGTAGAACATACTCTTCCAGTGATAACTTTTCAACCTCTTCAACTTCAGTTTTCACAGGTTCATGTGATTCTATATCTCTGTGTTGTATTGCAGTTTCAGTGACACCATGGTCTTCATCCTTGAATGACTTCCTTTTCACTTCATCTTCTTTTTTAGACAGAGATATTTCAGTAATGTTTGTGAAAGATATTGGCGAATTTCTTGACGTTTCAGCTTGATGTGTTTTAGAGGTTGTATCTTTTGAAAGTGTAGCTTTATTGGAAGGCTTTGTTGAACGTGTAGGTGTTTTAATTTTATTGTCACTAGGCGTGGTACCTTTAGTCTTGTTTGGTGACTTCTTTCTTTTAAAACAGAGTAGAGATTTCCTACTTTTGTCACTTTTATTGGCATTTGGTAATGTTGCACCACTGTCGGTGCTATCGTGAACATTATCATCATCATCATCGCCATTCATGTTTTCTGTGATGATTGTGGCTGTTGAAATTTTCAAGTTACTATGTGAAATCGATGGAATTTTATTCCGATCTGCTTTTTCAAGTTCAGATGTAACTGAAGGCAGTATAAAAAGTGTAGGGGTTAATGTCACCACCGGCTCAAGTGGAACAACGGAAGTTCTTTCAATTTAAAATTTTTCTGGTAGGCCACCAGGTGAAGAGATTTGCGTTTTTGATATAATCGAACCTTGTATTGGCTGTTTTTATGAATATTTGTTGGTTTGTTTCGGTGACAATACTGGAGTAGTTTTGTAAATATGCATGACAGTCATTTTCGCATTTGGTAACATTCCCTTGCCAATCTCCTTTCCCACAACCTCGTAAAGCTTAATTTCTTCCGGTGGATCAAATGTCTGTGGAGATTCTGAAGTATTAAATGCATTCGTATCTTCACCGGAATCCTTATGCGATTTCCCTCCACACGGTGATATTTTGCATTTACGGGTGGATTTCTCACATCCACTCGAGATGTTGCATCAGACCCCAACCCTCCCTCTTTATCCAGGCTTGGGACCGGCTGGAATACTAGTGACCTAGTAATCTAGGCGAGGTTAAGTATTTGATTACTTACACTTTTGTATGTTATCAATTCTTTGTGCAATAAATTTTACTGGCTCTTTCTGGTTTAGAAAAAACTGTGTGGAACATTTATGTGTTCCGATAGTGTTGAATAATTTCACATTTTATGACACTAATCTCGGTGATATCAATTTGTCTATTCTGTTGTAAACTAGTTGCGGGCAGTCCTCAGTACATGTTTTATTATTCCCTTTGGTGACGAGTGGAACATACAGCTTGAACAGCGCATCTCCACTCACTCCGATTCTCTTCTGTACACGTTAGCTATCCACATGGTTGTCTGTAAGCTTTTATCTTCTCCTCCGTGGCACAGTGGTTAGGATTCTCGCCGACCATGCACATGGTCTGGTGTTCGATCCGCTGCCGATGCACACCCAATATCTATGGTCGGCCTGTGAAATTTGGGCTACCGATATCCATGCTGAAAATGACATACTTGTACTGAAAATACGGTGTGGCATCAAGCTGTAATCAAAAATCAAAAATCAAATAAGATGTCCTTTATTGTCATTCTCGGAATCACCAGTTGTCTTCTCCCTTTTATTCCCATTACATTCCAGCGAATGTCTGGTGAACACAAATTCATTCGACTGTCTGTGCAACGTGTGTCCATCTTCAATCACCTCTCCGATTACTTGTCGAGCAATAAGTTCTCGTTTGATTCGTTCTCAAAGTTTTCTCGGCGTGAATTCACACTGGCCATGTGTTCTTCAAAGAAGTCAGATGTTGGTAAAAGTCTGTGGTGGCCTGCTGGATTTTCACCTATACAGAGGAAATCACTTAAGACTAATATTGAAAATCAGGATTTTGTTCTTGATGTTGAGGACAGAAGAGATACACACTGATATCATTTTGATGGAAGTGTGACTTGTCATTGTGATGACGGTTTTGACAATTTCATCCCTGGCGACTAACTGCCCTCACTTGAAATAATACTTCTCAGATAAGTGAAGGGAGTGCATTCTTCTAAATCTGTTCCGTCTATAGTGATTGATGCTTTCGATATTGATTGGTCATTTTCACCAACTCCCTTATTCTCTATGATCACTTGAACCTTGATACTTTTCAACAGTCCACATCTGCTCTCTCAGAACCCCAGCACTTCTACATCATACCTCCTTCTTTCGCAAACTGGGCAGCCATACCACTCAGCCTCATACATATTACGTACAATCCACGTCCTCATTCTCATTCTTGCTTTCACCGAGAGAGATGACACATCGGCTGGATGGATAAATGTTTTGATATTGTGGAGAATGAGTAGTGTAATGTAGACAAAAGGTGCACGAGATGACAATCAACTAGTTGGTGAGTTCGCTTATCATTGTGGGGAGTTCAAAGTTGGGTCACATTACAGCTATAACAAGGAGATGGTGTTGTAACTGACGATTACGTGATTAAATACACGACAGAGTAAAGACATCTGGTTACCAGGTGAAAAGAAGTCTGATGACTATTCCTTTCTGCACTCACAAATCAGCTTTCAAAAGATTGATATAAGTTCCTCTCGCAATTTGAAGAAGAACCCATCTATATTTAATTCCTGATAATTTCAAAGGATTTAAGGCTGTCCACTTTGTGATCCCTGTCAAGCAGTGGCCTGCTTATGGCGCTACAGAAAGCGTTTCTCACACAAAAACCGTTGTGTTTGCTTTATTCACATTTTACAAGATTGTATTCGTGAGGAAACTAATGAGACTAAGAGAATCCTTGAAACTGAAACTACAAGTGCCTTCATGGCTTATCTAATATTCTAAAAGTACAAATATATTTGAGAAACAAATTGACAATATTCCCTTACTTCATCTTCAGATAAGAACTAAATCAACCTGTGTATTGAGTGAGGTGAAATGGTTTCACAGTGATACCGATGTGAAACACTATATCCCCTGATAGTGATCCCGCTCCACGTCTGCTGCATCACATAGTGCGATGGGGTTGCTGAGCTCACTTCCAGCTCTTCCACCTTGCTGAACTTCAAACATAAGCACGTGTACTAGGCGAGTCTAGGGACTGTAATCTTCGATGATTGAATCTGGACTACGTGCATGCTTGGAGAGCAGTCTAATATTGTGCTTGCAATCGTTTGCAATCATTTAAGAAATCTACTGAACTAAGCATAAAGAAAAGCACTGGAGATTCAACACTGATTGTATGTCAGTTACTTGTTCCAAGTGGCTCAGAAACTATTGTGCAAGGAATTTGAAAACCACTTCAACACTATGGAATGCAGTGTTCCGAATATCTATGATCCACAATCATACCGACGCACACACGATATCTATGGTCGGCCTGCGAAATTTGGCCTACCGATCGATATCCATGCTGAAAATGACATACTTGTACTGAAAATACGGTGTGGCATCAAGCCGTAATCAAAATAAAAAAATAAAATAAATCATGAAGAATAAGGTGGTGACACATGCCAACAGAGAGCTCAGCGAAGTGTTTGTGACCTATGAATTCTGAGGTCTACCAACACAGAGACATGCCTGAAACCCTAAAGTCGCTTACACTTTATCATTCATCTAATTATTTCATTATTCGCAATAATTCATCTTCAATCGCTTATTATGTTATCAATTCGAATCGACATTCGCTACTCAATTGCTCCTCATATGCAACCAGAATTTCGCGTTGAGTTACACAACCGTTCAACTTCTACGATTATTATTTCTACCCTTCAATACCTGATGTGATTTCCTTCAATTATCACTACATGCTTGTTTTCATCTCATCGTTTACGATAACTAATCGTCATCGTCATCATGCTCTGTCCGGTTCACTGGTACGCTCACACATCCAAGCCTGTTGCAGGACAGATTTGTGACGAAAAACAAAAGTAAGTAACTTGAATTTGAATTATGACCTCTTTTATTAGATTAATAGATAAATGTTGTACGCTGTGCGGGTTGGCGACAAACGACAACATACATCACATTTCATGCATTTTATCCAGACATCAGTGCGTAGAATGAACAGAAAAAGAATAGACCCACGCATCACCCCCAATGAAACTGTCGATCCACAGCTGAATGATACTGGAGACCAGAATGCGTGTCACCACCTGAAAATGAATAGAGAAAACACACATTAAGCATCATGTCCCAGTCTGATCCACATTTGTGCAAATGAAATTCTCGTCTGTTCGGATAGTGAGACTGTCGGTCGTCATTATGGAAGTTCGCAATCATGCAATGACGGTGTCAACGCCATTGAGAAAAGGACACAAGTATTTCATCACTCCACAACGTATGACTTCCAACTAATGAGTACGCCATTTGAGTATGGCATTGTGCAAACAAATCAGCTAGCCGCCTGTATACACGTATCAGGAAATCGGTGGGGCGAGATCATATGTGTTGTCAGCAAGGTGAAAATATTGAGCATTTTGCAAATACACGCCTAACGAAGACAAACATTGAGTAGAGAAAAGCTACTCCATCAATTCAAATAACAGCTGGTGTGCATAAAGAAAACGCGATATTTCACATGCACAAACGACTGCGAAAATGTGAAGCATATCTCACCTTGAAGGGATGAATGGTGGAGCAGGTTGGCTGTGGTTGGATAAATCGCCTTTATACGTGCACTTTCGGCAGCTGAAATCACTAGAATCACTGTAAGAAGCAGGTAGCAAATCTGAACAGAATGAAACATGAACATCACCATTAAATGTCTCACACAGACTCACCGTTCTCACTGAGTGCCACTGATACATATCGATGATGATGATGGTGGTAGATATGGAAAAGCAGGAGCACGGGCCCGTCTTTATAGTTTGCGAGAAGACTGTGATGCGAACACATGTGGCTGTCGTTCAATAAGTGTGACCAATGGAAATATTCTGATGTACACTGTGAATGGGTGACCTGTAGATTAATTGATAAAGTATGGGAATATCAGCAATTTGTTTCTGAGAGTTTTGTGCACTTCCTCAAAGTTTCATACACAACGGAGCCCTGGGAAATTTATATTCATCAGTTTTATCACCTGAGAATTTCATACCTATTAATGGCCTTATTTGTAAAAGTGCATTTCCATACAATACTGAATGCTGAATGTGCTTTGTTGAGAAGAACTTATCCTTTGTGTAGAATCTTGAGTTTGGACAGTATTGATGAATATGTCACCGTTCTAGGCGAATCCCGATGATATAGCTTATTCCTTGTCAACAAAATGAGAAGTAGACATCAACAGAGAAACGATAGCAAGCACAATATTAGACTGCTCTCCAAGCATGCACGTAGTCCAGATTCAATCATCGAAGATTACAGTCCCTAGACTCGCCTAGTACACGTGCTTATGTTTGAAGTTCAGCAAGGTGGAAGAGCTGGAAGTGAGCTCAGCAACCCCATCGCACTATGTGATGCAGCAGACG